ATTATTACAGTGATGCTGATTCCTAATGAGGCAGCTTTTATTAATGTCCATTCTCAAGCAACATGAGATTATTTATAAATATTAGGTTTGTCAAGCCCCCTAAACTAAAAGATGGTTTAGCCCAGTGTCGGAATTTCATTCATATTTACTATTTGTCACACCATGTTAAATTGCCAGAAATTTTCTCCAATACTTAAATTATGTTCTTCAGGATGACCAACATATTTAATACTGGTGGCCCAGTCTGAAAGAAGGAAAAACTTAAAAAGAAGACATGATTTACTTTAATTTATAAATCAAGAGACTAAACTGTTTCACTAAATCTCCAACTATAATAACTCTCAGTTTGAAAGTATCAAACTGTGAAGTTTGAAAATAATTTTGTAAGTCAGATAAAATGAAATACATATTTGGTACAACATGCAGTGAAATTGGGAAGCTTGTTCTCTAATACAGAATTGTGTACCCCAGAAGAAATAACATTTGTCACGTTCTAAGAAGAGTCTGACCCAGTATTTTTTTAATTGTGGTGAAATAGAGACCCAGGATGTTTTTATTTCTGTAATTTCATATTTAGAAATCATGTTTCTTTCTTGTGAAAGGGGCAAGAGGAAGAAGAAACCTTTAAAAGAATCTTTGTTAACATCAACAATGCCTTTCAAAATTGTATTTGCCAGTATTGGATTTTCAGGAGAATTTTTTTGTTGTTCATCAGTTAATACAGTTTATGTGTGTCGCTATCTTCATTGATAACTTTGGTCTTTTAAAAAATAACTCTGGACTTAGAAAACCTGCAAATATTTTTTGTTTTGAATGCTGCTTTGTTTATTAACAAATTCAAGTTAGTAAAAAGCTCCATTTCTTATTTTAAACCTTCTACCAGGTGTTCACTGTTTCCAAAGAATTGGTGCCTCGGGTACTATCCAAGGTGGTAGAAGCTGTTTCTGAAGAGCTCAGCCGACTGATGCAGTGTGTTTCATCCTTCAGCAAAAATGGAGCATTACAGGTACCAAAACATTCCGTTTCATTTAAAGCCTATAAATGTACTTTTAGTCATCGATCTTATGCTATACAGACAGCTTGTTTTTAAAGAATGGATCTGCTGATTAGAGATGTACATATTCTTTCTTGTATAAGCCAAACCCCATAACTCATTGTCCACAAGTTCCAGAGTTTCTATTTCTTTAAAGGAAAACAAAACCGTAAAAACTGTGAAATTTTTTTTCCTGTGAAATTGTCTGAATGCAGATGTCTGCAAATATTTTGTGATTTTTATTTTTTTCATAGTTGTCTTCTCTATATTCAATTCCACAGGAAATTTTTAGCAACTTTTAATAAGTCTTTCCAAAGTGCTCAGTGCTGTTTGCATACAAACAACAAATAGCTATCTCTTTTTTTAAAAATTATATAATTACAACAGGCTTAACTACTGTAACCAATTTATTCTTGGAACACATACAAGCCACCTGGCAGGCACCAAGCCATGCAGACGCGTGGAAGAGTGACCTCCTGCCCCAAGCCCTGGGAGCACTGTGAGGGTATTTTAAAAAGCAGTGGCAGTTCTGCTTCCAGTGATGGCTGAGGAAGCTCCTGTTTGTCTGTCCTTCCGCAGATAACTACAAAGTTGAATAATTTCTAAAAATAAGAATATTTCAAATTGATTTCTTAAAAACCTGAAGATACCATCACTCATTAAGGAGCAGATTCTGGAGGAAGTGACACTTAGGTGAATTCTCCACTCTTTGTGGATTTTAACTTGAAGGCAGGCCCAGGGGATAAGGGAGTGGGCCCTGAAATCCCAAAACAAAGTCTTCCCTCTTTCTGTCTTGAAGAATAGGTTTGGGGGCAGCCACTACAGGAAAGTGAGGGAGGCATCCCAGAGCATAGAGAGTAAGAGCCAGACATTCTGTGTATACTCTGGCTGGCCCTTAGACGTCTGTATGTGTGGTCAAATTGCACTGCATCCTGCCCATGCTGCAGCTAAATGGAACTGCTACCCAAGAGCCAGAAGTTTTCAGTTTGCATCCAAATAAGTAAATTGCTTGGTAAAACAAACAAAAATCAACAGTCTTTACAGGTATATTGCAGAATCCACAGTCTCCACAACATAACATTCACAATGTCTAGGTTACAAGTCTTCTCTATATTCAATTCCACAGGAAATTTTTAGCAACTTTTAATAAGTCTTTCCAAAGTGCTTTAATTAAATTTAATTTAATTAAAATTTAATTGAAATGGACAAACAAAACAGGAAAACATGACTCATTCTTTTTTTTTCTTAATTTTTTTATTAAATCATAACTGTATACATTAACGCATTTATTGGGTACAGTGTGCTGATTTTATATACAGTTTGGAATGTTTACATCAATCCTGCAATTCCTCTACTAGGGGTATATCCAGAAGACCAAAAATCACTTTACAACAAAGATATTTGCAGCACAATGTTTATTGCAGCCTAATTCATAATTGCCAAGTCATGGAAGCAGCCCAAGTGCCCATCAACTAACTCTTGATAGGAAAGACAAGCAACTGAGACCAACCTTAAGATGACCCAGTTGCTGGAATTAGTAGGCAAGGATTTTTAGCTTAGATGTATTCAATGATATAAAGGAAAATATGCTCCTAATGAATGGATAGGAAGGAAATCTCAGAGAACAGAATTCCTAAAAAAGAAACTAAATAGAAATTTTTGGAATGTAAAATTATATAATGTATGATTTTTTAAAAAATCTACTAGATGGAGAAGACAAAGGAAAAATCAGTGAACTTATAGACCAATAGAAATTATCCAATATGAATAACAAAGGAATAAATGGTAAAAGTAAATAAATAAACAAAGCTCCAAGGACTCCTAGGACTATGTCAAAAGGTCTTGCATACGTGTTAATTAGATTCCAGAAGAGTAAGCATGGCCAAAAGATGGTCAACTTCATTAGTTAGCAGTGAGATGAAAATCAACACTAAATAGGATGCACATCCATCAGGATAAAGAAAACTAAAGACTGACAGTACCAAATGTTCTGGAGGAACTGGAGCTCTCACACATTTTCTGAAAAGCTCTTGTACTTTCTTCTAAAATTAAACATACACATACCCTGTGACCCAGTCATTCTCAGTTATTTATCCAAGAGAACTGAAAACGTATTTTCACACATACACTAAAACAAACAAACAAACAAAAAATTTAAATGCTTATAGCTGTCTTATTCATAATAGGCAAAAACTAGAAACAGCCCAGGTGTCCATAATAGAATAAACAAACTACTACTATATTGTAAACTACAATATAGTCATACAACAAAATACCATTCAGCACTACAGAGAACCAATTACTGATTCAACATGGCAAATCTCAGGAGCATCATGCCAAGACAGCCTTACACAAAAACATACGTATACCATATAGCTTTAATTTACATAAATTCTAGAATGGATAAAACGAATCAGTGGTGCCATTAACTGGGAAGGGCCTGAGAGAGCTTCACAGGGATGGCTGTGTACCTTGATACGGGTTTCCATTACACAGGTATATGCATCAGCCAAGACTCAGCAAATGGCACCCTTTGAGATTTGCCCATTTGGTAGTATGTAAACTTTAACTCAAGAAAAGTAAAAAGAACTGACACAAAAACTGACACTCCATTTTAGTTAATAATATGCATGTGGAAATATCTCAAAGCAGTACAGTGGATTCATGGGTAGACTGTCGGTGCCATTAGTGTTAATGACATAGTCGGTGGGTATAAAGGTGTTCACTGTAAAATTCTTTCAAAGTCTCATACATTTGAAAATTTTCATAATAAAATACATATTAGGGTGAAGGGGAATGGAGAGCATCTGTTAATCTGATTGGGGGGAAGTCTGTTAAAAAATTGTTATATTTCCATTTACTACCAATTTTCTCTAAAAATTTGATTTATCAGACCTTTGATATTATAGTTAAGATTGAAAGGTCATGATTCCATCACAGGAGATTAGTAGTGTAAATTGTGCCATACAGAAGCTGAATTAAAGTCACAGTAGCTACAGTGGGCCCAGTGATGTTGAAATTATAACAAAGTCTTTCCTCTCCAAAAATTACGTCTGTAACACATTTATCTAATGCCTAAATCCCTCTCAAAGCTAGCAGGAGCAGGGAAAGGTTGGAAAGAGATATCAGAATCAGGTGGAGACCTTTTTCAGAGTACACATGTTCAAGTGACTAGTGGGCATCATAATTGTTCCATTCTCTGATATTCTGATACCTCCTAGACCGAGGCAGACGTTTGTGTTTAGAAAAAATTCATTTGAGTCCAAGCCCCCATCTCCACCCTCGCCCTTTAAGAATGACTGTAAGAGCCTCCTTCTTTGAAGCAGATAACTAAGAGGGACAGCAGGTTAAATCTTTGATAGTGTACGTGTGTAGTGCCAATCCCCAGAACTTTCCTAAGAGCCAGTTCGCAGAAGAGGAGAGTGATAATTTGATGAATTAACTGATTTTTGGCAAGACCTTTTCTGGATTTCAATTTTATATATGTTATATAAATAGCCACATTTTTTTTATAATTGGCATATTTCATAGGTTAATTAAAATACCCTATTGCAGGAGATGCCATCTTCCAGAATTCACCCAAATGACAAACACAAAGGGAAGGAGGAGAGGCACCCGATACATGTTCTCTAGACCTTTTAGAAAACATGGAGTTGTTCCTTTGGCCACGTATATGAGAATCTATAAGAAAAGTGATATTGTAGACATCAAGGGAATGGGCACTGTTCAAAAAGGCATGCCACACAGATGTTACCATGGCAAAACTGGAAGAGTCTACACTGTTACCCAACATGCTGTTGGCATTGTAAACAAACAAGCTAAGGGCAAGATTCTTGCCAAGAGGATTAATGTTCGTATTGAGCATACTAAGCACTCTAAGAACCAAGATAGCTTCCTGAAACGCATAAAGGAAAATGATCATTGGGAGGCTGAGGCAAGAGAATCACTTAAGCCCAAGAATTGGAGGTTGCTGTGAGCTGTGACAGAACAGCACTCTATTGAGGGTGACATAGTGAAACTCTGTCTCAAAAAAAAAGGAAAGAAAGAAAATGATCAGGAAAAAAGAAGAAGCCAAAGAGAAAGTTACCTGGGTTCAGCTAAAGCACCAGCCTGCTCCACCCAGAGAAGCACACTTTGTGAGAACCAAGGGAAAGGAGCCTGAGTTCCTGGAACCCATTCCCTATGAATTCATGGCATAATAGGCATATAACATAGCACACAGGAAAACCAATGGAACTGTGATATTGAGTGCTGGAACTTATTTATTCCCCATGAATTCATGGCATAATAGGTATACAGCGTAGCACACAGGAGAACCAGCAGACCCCATGTAACAATGATATAAAGTGCTAGAACCTCACCATGAATTCATGGCACAATAGTCATACAACACTTTGTCACATTCAATGGCAAGGTGCCTCCCTCCCTGAGCTACTAGAACCTTTTCCTTATGAATTCATGGCATAATATTAAAAATAGTAGCCTGCTACTACTGTAAATGTTTGTGGTCATTCACTAAAAGTGTGGTATGTTTTTCCCAAAAGACGTATTAAAGCGAATTTTAATGGTGTCTTTAAAAAAAAAAAAATACCCTATTGCTCTGATTGAATAAAATTTCTACCTTGAAGACTGGTTTTACAGTGATTTGATTTTTCTCCTAAAATATTCAGCTGAAATTTCTGCCTTATTTTTCTCTCTTGGATGTTTTCCTGGAGGTCTGTTTGTACCTATCCTAGAATAGAAACAGTAGAGGCAGAAATTGTCATACTTTCTAGCATTTGTAACTTTCTAGTTACAGACTATTCTCCAGGCTTCTAAAGCATTGAACAATTGAAACAATTGCTTTCCAGCCAGAAAAAGTCACTGTGTGTACTTCAGCTGGTATAAATCAGCTTTTATCCAGCTTGCTTACAGAATTTCTAATGAACAGGAAAGACCTTGTTTTACAGTTGGTCCACTCCCTGAGAGTGAGGGCAGTTTCTGTTAAACGCTCTGTGAGTGTCACTCACTGTGGGCACCTCCTCAGAGAGGCAAGCACTGTTTAATCATCTGAGGAACTGCCAGACTGTTTGTAAAGGGATTGCCTTATATTACATTCCCACCAGCAATTTATGAGGGTTCCATTCTCTCCACACCCTCGCCACTGCTGGTTATTGTCTGTCTTCTTGACTGTAGCCATCCCAGTGGGTGTGAAGTAGTATCTCATTCTTTGATTTGGTAACATAAACGTTTTTAATTTTGACAGAAGCCAGTTTATCTGGGGTTTTCTTGTTGTTTGCTTTTGGCATTATTCTGAGAAGGGTTGCCTAGTCCAAGGTCACGAGCATTTGCTCCTATTTTCTTCTAAGAATTTCATACTTTTAGGTCTGTGATCCATTTTTGAGTTAGCTTTTGTGTTTAGGAATGAATCCACCTTCTTTGTTCTTCTGCCTGTGGTTATCCAGTTGTCCCAGCACCATTTGTTGAAGAGACTATTCTTTCCCCATTGAATGGTCTTGGCACTGTCATTGAAAACCAATGGATTATAAATGTAAGGGTTGGTTTATTTCTAGGTTCCCAGCTCTGCCCCAGTGATGTGTGTATCTATCTATCCATGTGCCAGTATGCCAGTATCACACTGTGCTGATTACTGTGGCTTTGTAGTAAGTTTGAAATTAGAAAGTATGAGTCCTCTGAATGTGTTATTCTTTTTCAAGATTGTTTTGGCTATTCGGAGTCCCTAGCATTTTCATATGAATACAAAATGTGTCAAATTATTAATTTAACAATTTCCATTAAAGAAAAGGCAGCTGTGATTTTTGTAGGGATGGCATTGAGTCTGTGGAGAGGAGTTTAGCTTTTGAGATTAGGCCACAGGAGTGAAGAAGCAAGCCACACCGTGTCCTTAACTCTGCGGGGAGCGGTGGGGGGGCTCTTTCAGGGGCAGTGTTTCAGAGTTTCATTCCTTTCACAACCACACTCAATGAAAAACGACTGGTTAGGTAATAAACACAGATTGCTGGAAAGTCATTGCAGAGTTCATACTCTTCATAACAAGAAATCTAGCTCCCTGTACTCGCATAGTTGTCCTGGACCACAAGCTAACTTTCAGGAAAAGGACATTTTGTAGTACCCAGTTTCTTTGGACTATGCACAATGGGTAGTCAATATGGTGTTATGATGCCGACCCTGTCGGATGATAAGTAGGCTGGAGGCTGTTCCTCTCAGGACTTGTTTATTTATGGTAATTAACTTGTTTTCCTATTGTGTCTTTGTCCTTTCCCATCCTCAGGCAAGACTTGAAATCTGTGCTTTGAGGGATACCGTGGCTGTCTACCTAACTTCCGAAAGCAAGTAAGATGCAGTGCTCTTTAGTTTTAAGTGCTTTCTTAAAAATCAAGTTTGTTTTACTTGTATATTTTATCTTTGGTAAGGATAACTGATCAGAGTAATGCTCATGAATTTGTAACCAGATAAACCTTATATTTGATCAGATTTTAGCTAAAAAGCATAAACCTACAAATAAAATAGCAACTATCAAGTCTGCTTCTTTGTCGCACAATATGAAGGAAAAAGGATTTAATGTGATTTTGTTTTTCATTCACTACTTATAAGTCTTAGTCTTACAAATAATATAGCAAAATATCACATACTTCTTTTAAAAAGGAGAGTAAGAATTGAGTCTGTCTTTTCATAGCAGACTTTGAAGGACAGTTCCAGAGTTGTAAATATCAGTATAAGAGGAAGCCTTGTGGTTTCTCTGCAAAATTTTGTAGTGGAAATTGGGTGACAATTTTTAGCTGTTTTGAATGAAAGTCAGGATTTCCTACCATTGAAAGTAGGTGAAGTGAAACAGAACTACTATTTGCCTATGCAAAATTGTTTACTAGATTGGCAGTAGTACCTAGGAAATACTGGGCTATATTGTTAATATGCCTTAGAAGCCAATGTGCAAATGGCTTAAGGAACTGTTTAAGGACAGACACTGTAATATGCCTGTTCTTTTATTTCTAGCATTTGATAACATGGTTACTGTCGTCATTGTAACTGAAAAGACTTTTTAAATTTTTCCTAACAAATGAAGTTGTCTTCTCATTCCTATTCATAATGGCTTACCAGAAGCCATTTCTAGATGGCTGCAGTGTTCATTGTTGAGGCATGTCTTTTCTCAACCATTATTTTTGTGTACAAAGTGCTACGTAGAGAACAGAAGGCACCCAATTCACAAGTGACGAATGTGTGTGTGTCATGTGAGTGCCCGTATGTTTCTTCCTGCTAACTTAAACTTTCAGAGCCTACATTCCTCATTTATTAAAGGAAGATTAAAAAAAAATCTTCCAGGCAAAATTTTGAGAGAAGTGAGAAATTTTGTCAAGTCACCTTCTAAACTGTTAGCGCTCTGCAAGTAACAGGTGGTATAGGCTTTCTCATCAGTATTGTCGTAATGTCAAAATAAAGGACGGTAGCATCACTTCTCTTTCATTTAGTAGAGAAGATGATGTGGCTTCCCTCCGTATCAAGAAAGAAAGAGCCAGTCAAATATTGGGAAGGGACCTAAGTGTGCCAACAAGCCACCTGTCCCCACGGCCCCACCCTACCTCTCCCAGGCACAACTGGAGATTCCCAAAGCCAATTGTATGACTCTGTTGGGACTTCTCAGTCTCTCTTTGGGTTGCTGTGACACCTGCCCCTAGTTTGAGAAACAGTGCTCAAAAGTTATTTCCTGATAGACTGATAAGGATGTTTGTACAATAATAAATGAAAGACCACCTTGAAGAGTGGTTTACTTTTTCACCTCAGTGAAAAGCACTGAGATAAAAGCATAAAAATTCATGAAAGCAGAGATAAAAAGTGATACTGTTCCCTCAGTGACAATGCAATTCAAGTGATTACCAGACAGCCTCTCCACAATGCCTTTCTTCTGGTGAAAGGTAAACATCTCAAATAGGTTTTGAAGGTTTTGAATTTGTTCCTTTTGCCTTTTTGTATATAAAGAACTGAGGTTAAATTTTGAAAGTATATATACATCTCTTCATTATCTAATATATCTTAAAGAGCCAAATTCTACAAAGTCTTCACTTATTTTAAGACAGTGATTATAAACCAGGCCCTGTACAGGCAAATACTAAAAAATGTCCCCATTGGTGTAACCTGTCACAAGATCATCCGTATTCCTACCTAGTTTCTTCCTTTCTGGCCAGTTGCTTTACTTGTAGTTCTGCTTTGAAAAGACTATTTTAAAAATTAAATATTTGCATTTTGAGCCCTCCCCTATCATGAGTAGCATCCGTTTTTGTTGTTGGTAATTCAGTTTCTCCTGTAGCTTTTCAAGTTGCGTCTCATTTCCTAGGTGAATTTTTCTCACCTTATTCCTACAAAGGCTCCTCCCGGTAACTGACTACACCCTCACTTTTACTTTTACTTTTTCTGTTGCTTTTCACTTTTACTTTTTCTCATATTTCCACTTGCTTCACTGGCTTATATCAGTTTCTTTGTAGTTAAGACAGGCTTACGAATCTTTCAGTGGTCCTCTTAATTCCCTTAGAACTATGCCTGTTCCTGCTTAAGTGCTGCCGTTTATGTTCCAGGTCTAGTTTTAAACAAGCTTTGGAAGCCCTGCCTCAGCTTTCAAGTGGAGCAGATAAAAAGTAAGTTCTGTATGCTACCCTCAGGTGGCCATCAGATATGCTAAACCCGGTTCCGTTAGCTTAAGGACCTTTTAAAAAAAATAATACTGATTTGGAGTTAAGGAAGAGCCCTGCTAACTAGTCCTAAATAGGTAGTCATGTCACCTGTACCTTGCACACCTCCAAATGACAGAATAAAATAAAGTGAAGTTTTTCTTCTGGGTTCAGGATGATTTAGAAATTAGTTATTTCCTTGGTAGTGACTGGTACAGAAAATGTCATTAGGAAGCTTATGACTCATTCAGTAAACTACATTATGTATTTAAGAAAGTCATGTAAAAAAGAGGACAGCCTAATAAAATGCAGGACCCAGTGATTTCTTTTTTCTTGGAGTAGCTTAGTGATACACATTTTGTGCTTTATAAAATACAGAGTATTAAGAAAGAGTGGATTTATATGTACAGCATAAGGGTATTCACATTTCCTTACACTACATTCCTGCTCTCACCCTGAGCTCAAGCTTCACTACCCATACAGCAGGAAACTCTAACCTGAGAGAAAATCTAGGCCAGGCAAATTTCACATATGCCCATTGTACCCTCTGCCGAGGGGCAAGCAGTGTAGAGCTCTGCTCTTTCACCAGTGCTAGCTGAGGTCCACTCCCCACTGCGTGCGGCCAGTGGAGCCATAGACAGCACCTGTGGCAAATGGATTGTGAAACACACAGTGCTGGTGTCTGGGACCCAGCACTGGTGACCATTGTGGAAACCAGAGGGCAGAACACACATGGGGCTGGTCCATGGGAGGACACTGCCACGTAGGCACATGCAGATGTGGAGACAGTGCCACCATAGACTGGCCCATCCTTTGTTTTCTTGCTTCTGTCTTCTCTGACTTTCAAACTCTATCTGAGTGATTCCAAGCTCTGTTTATTTCTTTAAAATAAATATTTTAAGATTGAGACAGTCACTATTACCTTTAATGTATGGGACAAGGCTCAAAAGGCTAGTGTGTTTGGGAGTCAAGAGCAGCAGGCACCCTAAAATAGCTTTCAGGACTGTGCTTTAGATTTAGCAGGGCAACAGTGTGCTAGCTGTGGGCGTTGTTAAACCATGAGATAATCTCCTGACCTTAAGACTGTTCACCCCAGTTCTTACTGCTTCATCTGAACCAGGTGAATGCTAGCTTTAAAATCATATGCATATGTCAGACCAGTTGCAAACTGAGGTACCAAGTAGCAGAATGATTTGCCCAGAGGAACTAGAACTAACCTGCTTCCCTTGGCGATTAACTCACCACTTTCCCTCTCCACTCTCCAATATTTGTTAAAGGCAAAATACAAAATTAGAGGGACAGAAAGTAACCAGTGTTGCTGGGGTACTGGGGACTGAGGATGAGGCTGGCTCCAGAGGGGCGGCAGGAGAGCGCGTAGGGCAAGGGAGCCACTGTCCCTGACTGAGGAGGTGGTTGCACCCTGCGTGTGGGTCAGCTTCATAGAACTGCACAATAGAAAGAGTGGATTTCAGTCTGTGTAAGTTTTTCTAGTGCCTTAAGAACAAACCCAAATATCAGTCTGTTTTAGGGAGTAATCTCATTTAATCTGGGGAAGGGGGCAGAAGGATATTTTTATATACAAACATAAATATGTATGTCAGTGTACCCCTTTTGACCGGCTTCTTTGATTGATTTATTTGTTATTAAGAATCCATAGATAGTAACTTTTCAGCTAACCTTCAAAAAACAGCAAGCTCAGGCAGAGCCTGGTGGTTTGTTCCCGTTGTGTTTTCTTGTGTTGCTAGGCCACCCGCCCTTCAGGCTGTAAAATAGTGTCTCCTCCCTGCAGGTTACTGGAAGAGCTCCTGAACAAGTTCAAGAGCAGCATGCACTTGCAGCTCACCTGTTTCCAAGCAGCTTCTTTGATCATGATGAAAACATAAATACCTCCCAAAGAAGGGCAATCCAGAAAGATAACAAGTAATAAACTATTCACTTTTTTAAGTGCCCTAAAGGTATTGGGTGTATAAAACATTGGGTTTGCAATTTCTGTCCCCTCCTTCTTTCTTTTCCTTATTACCTTACAAAGATGTTGTGTATGTTTTATTTCAACCAAAATGGCCTAATTTGAAATACCCTAGCAGTATTTGTTTCTCCCTTTGTATTACATTAGATCCTATATGTGACTGTTTAAAATACCTTTTAAAATATATTTTGTGTCCTGCCTAAGTTTCATGGTGAATGTGCTTCAGGAAGAACTGCTTCCCGGGGGGCGATTTGAGATGGTGCAGCGTATACTAAGGCAGTTCTCAGTGTTTCACTCACTAGATGTCAGCGGGTAGGCAGCTCACAAGGCTCAGGGAAAGGTTGATAAGAAGAGATCTGGAAAGTTACGTTTAGGAATCTTTGGAGCTTTAACTGTCCTAAATTGTACAATTACCTTTAAACACTTTATTTCAAGGGCAGTACTGTGACTCAAAGGAGTAGGGCACCGACCCCATACGCCAGAGGTGGTGGGTTCAAACCCAACCCCAGCCAAAAAAAAAAAAAACTTTATTTCATAGAAATAGCCATAAGTCTCCTAATTCAAGTTGGTTTTTTAAAAAAGTTATCATTAGGCCACATTCTGTGCGGTTCAGATGGCCACGAATTAGTTTTGCATTTGCCCTGTTTAACTTTTGTTTTTCCCAGTGCTAAACACTGAGCAGCTCCTCGGTGTCACCTGTGCAGTTCTCACTCACTCTCCAGGACGTGCATCACTCCACGTCAGCCTGTCCCAGCCCCGTGTGTCTCCGTCAGGGCCCAAGTGGACAGCCGGCCCCCTCCCCACCACTGTCCACACCTTCCCCCTAGAAGTTGATTTTCTTTTCGGTAACATAAAGAATGCCACTCTGACAGTCTATTTTCTGAAGGTTTGAGACACTCCTTGGTCACCAGGCAGTAGGTGCTGTAAATGAGCCACAGGCATCTGTCCCACTTTCGCTGATGACTGGGCTTACTGGAATAGGCACAGGTCATGGGTGACCTCTCTCAAAGTCATCTTCCCACATCTAACTCTTCATGCCCTTTGCATCTAAAAACAGCAATTCTCTATTGGTAGTCTGCTAGGCAGGGTTTTGAAAATTTGAAAAGGATGATAGAATCCCCTTAAAGTTAATGTATTATTACTACAAGTCATTTAAAGCACAGTATCTAAAGTCTTTGCCATATATAGTATCAATTCTTTGAAATAAGTAAATGCTGTTGTATTTGTTCATTCAGTATATAAGGGAGAAATCATAGTAATTGAAAGTGAAAGTTTTACAAAGGTTCTTGATAAAGGTATCAGATATACTGAATACTGTGTCTTCTAAGTGTGTTAACTGTTATATCTAACCTGGCTGGGAACTAAATTGTGAAACTGCGATCCTGAATGTTTGTGTTATTTTAAATATCTAGTATAGCGCCTTCAGCCAATAAAGCATCTTTTTCAGTGTAAGGTGTTATTTAGTTGATTTTTTTTTCCCTGAGTGCTTTTATTTCAACATTTTCATTAGTTATATAACTTTTAAATGTCCAGTTTTAACTTAATAACTCAAAATAAAAAATACTTAAATTTATTTAAATATTATTAAATTGAAAAGCCAATCCCTCGGCTTCCATTTGCTGGGGGCTTGCAGTGTGCTAAGCGTTGTATTAAAGTACCTCATTTAATCCTCACAACACCTGAGGGCTAGATTACTCCTCTGTCCATGTAGTAGGTGAAGGAATCTGGGCATAGAGAGAGGTTGGTGACTCCTCTAAGACCGCAAGGTCAGTAAGTAGCAGCCCGTGTTCAAACTCACAGTTCGCACTTTGTCCTCACATCTCCTTAACTTCACCACTGCCCTCTCCTTCCTTCCAGGTGAATGTGCTTTCTGGCGTCCATCCACCAGGGACACAGCTCAGGGAATACTCCTCAGTGCCAGAGGCTAATAAACTTCAGCAGCATGGCAGCACATAAGCACTCAGAGAGCTCAGAGTACAAGGCAGAGGTATAAAAACCCCGTACCCAAATGAGGCAGTTCAAGGACTTCTCTTCCAACAAGTTGAGGGGACTTCTTGGAAGAAAGGGGGATTTCAAGAGCTCCTTGAGTTACAGAAGGTTAATTTAGTGGTTAAGAAGGGGTGGATGAATATGACATGTGTTAGAAGAAAGAGATTAAATCAGGACTTGGAAAAAGTTTAACAAAGAGGCAGCTGAGAAAAAGAATTAAGGTAGTTTCATCCTCAGGTGATATTTTGGTTTTAGCCCATCCGTGTCTATGTGGGTCAGCACAGCTTCTTGGGAGTTAATTTTGCCTCACTTAGTTTAAATGCAGAGGAGCTATTAGAAATGATTTGGTTTTACTAAGACTTTCTATATCAGTGTACTATGAAAGTGTTGTGTTCTAGAAATGATTTGGGCATTGCAAAACAAGCATCATTGCCTTCAACCCAGCTCACTGACTCATTCTCCTGCCTCTGACATCCTTGCTTATAGTTTGTTTGTTTTTTTTTTAAGGGAATAAAAAGAAAAGATCACATTTTTATTTTGGATTTGGTACAAGATGGCGGTGTATTTCTGTTTTGGTCACATGCTATGGGGATATGCTGCTAGGAGTCATATTAGGGTGCTACAATGTGTTTTCTGAACAGTTCCAAATTTCATGTAGTTTTAAGAGTAAGTTTCTAAAATAAAGTCCAATATATTTTATTTAATATGCACAAAATAATTATGCAAAACTATAGACTAAACTTGCATACCTTTGCCATTTAGCATTTATCTGCTGATATTATTATAAAGATTTTCCTGTGGATTTATGAACTGCTGTGAGACTAATCTAAAAGATATGTTGGATATTTGAGATCATGCCTCAATTAGAGTAACAACTGTAGTGATTTTACCTTTGATTTAAATGCAGTTGCATGTTCTGTAACAGAGCTGTCATGCATTTTATGTACTGATCTCATCTCGTTTCTGTTCACCAATACTTTTTATTGTTTTATCATATGTATCACTGGAAAGCCTTTTTGTGCCTGGCCAGGTTAGAAATACAAAATAGTAAACATCCTATAAATAGAAAGAACCCAAGTCTTTGGGGTACCTGTGCATAGTCTGGCTAATGAAAGCCAATAGGATGTCAGAATGTCTTTCTCCTGTCTAGGCACATAAACTCTAAGGGGAACACTTAAGCTAGTCATGTGTGTCTCCATCAGTGTGTTAACCACGACTGGTATGTTACTGGATTTGTTGTAGTGGTCGTTGCTGATGTTGTTATGGTTGTTACCATTATTACCTCTTCACTTTTTTTGTTTTTGGTAAACATTCCTATCCCACCTGCCTACCAGCTATCTAGCTAGGCACAAATCCCTGAGAAGCAAGACCAGTACCTGAACTCTAACTGCCAAAGAAGGCCCTAAAGGAGTCCTCTATAAAGGTAGGAGGAAAAGCAGGGAAGAATGAGATCATGGATGAAGCCAACATATAAACAATTACATGCTCATATGAACAATAAAACACAAATGTACTCTAGAATGGTGACAGAGAGAGAGGGAAAGAGGAGGGGGAGCACGATTGGCAGATGGAGGGAGGGCAGGTGGTGGGATCTCACCTATTGTGCACATGTGAGGGTGTATAACATGCCCCTGGCTGAGGGGCTCTTTTACAATTGGAACTTTACCCTGGAAATGAGAACAATGTAATCTAAAAATTTGTACCCTCGTAATAATTTGAAATAAATCTTTAGAAAATTAAAAGAAAATAACTGTGGCAAGCACCTATAGTCTCAGCTATCTGGGAGGCTGAGGCAAGAGGAGCTCTTATGCCCAGGAGTTTGAGGTTCCTGTGAGCTATGATGCCATAGCACTCTACTGAGGGTGACAAAGTGCCTCTCCACCAGCAGAAGAAGGGCAGCAGGTATTCATGAAAAGAAAGCTTACCGGGCTTCCTTAGTATCACACAAAAGATACTTCATGGCAGAATGTATTTAGGAATAAAGGCTGCCATGTAATGATAAAAGGAATCATTTGCCAAGAAGGTAAAATGGTTGTATATTTAGGTATACTTACTATAACTTCAAGATACAGAATTTTAAAATTTCTGGAGTTCATAGTCAATAATCATATTAGTAGATTATTCATGCAGTTTTTTCAATGTTGGATTAATCAGGCAAAATAATTTTCAAATGTAAAGGAAACTTGAAAAGCAAGCTTAGTCTGGCAGAAATTTATAAAATCCTACAACTTTAATCAGAGAATTGACCACATTCTAGCCATATAGTGGGCCTCAAGAAATAAAGAATTCTCTGTTCTTTGATTGCAATAAAATTATTACTATATTAGAAATCAGTACAAGAAGAGAACTTTTAAAACCCTCCCTATGCAATTTTAAAACAGACTTCCAAATAAACTATAGGTCAAAAAAGAAACCACAAAAATTAGAAAAACCAGGAGCTGAACAATGGAAAAAATTAACACCAAAATCTGGACTGCAGCTAAAGAAATACTTCAAGGTAAATGTAGCACTTTCAGTGCTTGTATTAAAAAGGAAAAGAGATGGAAAAGAGATGGAATATGAGCTATGCATCAAAGTCAAAAAATAAAGCCCAAGGAAAGGAGAGGGAAGGCGGTAATAAACAACAGAAATGAAAAGAGTAGAACATAAAGATGGAGTGGAGATGATCAGGTCAACAAGCCAATAGCTGGTTCTTTGGGAACATAGAAAGGGAAAACCTGGCAAGGTGGACCAAAAGGAAAAACAAGAAGAGGTACAGCAGGAATATGTATTAGACATGAAGAGGGACACAATAAAACATACATCTGCCCTTTAAAGACATCTCTGTGGGCTCAGCGCCCGTAGCTCAGGGTTAGGGCGCTGGCCACATACCAAGGCAGGCAGGTTCAAACCTGGCCCGGGCCTGCTGAACAACAATGACAACTGCAACAACAACAAAAGAAAGCTGGGCGTTGTGGAGGGCGCCTGTAGTGCTAGCTACTTGGGAGGCTAAGGCAAGAGAATCGCTTGAGCCCAAGAGTTTGAGGTTGCTATGAGCTATGACACCATGGCACTCTACCAAGGGTGACATAATGAGACTCTGTCTCAAAGAAGAAAAAAAAAGACATCCCTGTGATAAAACAGTTCTTTTTTTTTTTACTCTTTTACAATTTTTTTATTAAATCATAACTGTACATTAATGCATTTATGGGGTACAATGTGCTGATTTTATATACAATTGGAGTGCTTACATCAAACTGGTTAACAGCCTTCACCTCACTTAATTATTATGTAAAGACATTTATACTCTTAATAGATTTGACATGTACCCTTGAAATATGCACCATTGGTGAGGTCTCACCGATTACCCTCTCTCCACCTGGCCTCCCCTCTCCCCTCACCTCCCTTCTCTCTCCTTCATCCTGGGCTATAGTTGTATTTTATCTTTCATGTGAAAGTGTGGGTGATTATATGTTGATTTCATAATAGTACTGAGTACATTGAATACTTTTTCTTTCATCCTTGAGATGCTTTCCTAAGAAGAATATGTTTCAGCTCCATCCGTGTAAACATAAAAGAGATAAAGTCTCCATCTCTTTTTTTGGCTGCATAATAGTTCATGGTTTATATAAACCACAGTTTATTAATCCATTCATGGGTCAGTGGGCACTTGGGCTGCTTCCATGACTTGGCAATTATGAGTCAGATAAAACAGTTGCTGAACGCAGACCTGATAGCCTGGCCTCAGCTGGAGGGACTTGGAAGTGCAGCCCCAGGGCTTCTCTGGATCCTCACCCAGCACCAGCACCCAGTTTGCCCCTCCCTTCCCACTTGGGTCCTATCAGTCACTTCACAGGAACAGAAGACGGGTCCTGACCAGGAAAGAAGGATTCTTTTGAGAACAAGCAAACTAGCACATGGACATTCTTAAGGTTTATTATCCTAAGTTGGACAGTACTAAGTCACAATGTGAAATCTCATTGTGTATGGGCTGATGGGTGATGTATTATCCACAGTGACATTTTGAATGACAAATAGGTTTTGACAATGCAGGTTCCTAATCAGAACCTTTGAAAAATGCCCCCGTGTTTAAGAGTAAAACTGCTTTCCCCATGGCACTGACAGTGGTGTTCCCCTGGAGTGGGCTGGGGAACAGGATGGCTCCCTCCAGACTCACCCTGATGAAGAGAGATGATGAAGTGCCATGGAGATTTGCTTTGGCTTTTCTTTCCAAAGTTTTGTTGGGGGCTGCGGGCAGGGCTGATAATAATCCTGAAGTTTTCTCTGAGAAAGTGGTTCTCCCAACTTTACAGTGCATGGGAGTCACCCACTGAGCTCACAGTGAATTGACAGCCAAACCGAAGCCAGGCCCAAGCATCTGAATTTCCCTTGGTCCCTGAGTGACTCTGAGGTGTGCCACAGCTAAGGGCTGCAGCGTCTGTGCTCCCTGGGTTC